GGGCCTCCCGCGGGGCGGGTTGCCTCCCCCGCCCCGCCCGGGGGGTCGGTGGGCCCGCCTGTTGGCGGGGGGCGCCGCTCCGCCGTGCTCTGCATTGAACCGGCTCTGGGTTGCTGCAGGAGAGCGGTGCCGGCGGTCTTCCAGCTCGAATCCTACCGGGGGATATTGCCGCCGGCGGCAGCCAGTGGGACGTTGCATGGTTAGAAATGGGCAAGCAGCTCATCTCGGCACGGCAAACGGGCGAGTGAGTCCACAAGTAAGCCCGCTGAAAACGTTTGAGAATCCCCCAGCTGCCTGCTTCCAGGTGGGGAACCGCTGGTGGAAGAAAACCCCAAGGAACCCGTTTGCAGAGTCTGAGAATTAGCTGGGATAGTCGTAAAAGGCTGCCTGGCAGCCAGGCATCTCTCAAGGAGCCAAGCCCACGTTATGCACGCGCCCTTAATTTACCCATTACTTAATAATACATGAATGGTAAACTGCAACCTTCACAATAGTCTCCTCATATAAATTTGCAACGAACATCCTGGGGATCGTTTTCAAAGAAAAGAGGTTGAATAAAAACCAACAGGGGATAGTCTCTGAGGCTTTGAGGATGTGCTGACTGCTTTAATCAAAGGCAATTGAGCCAGAAGGGCTCTCTGCCAGGGATTTCTCCACGATCTGTCTTTCGAGGGCTAATACCCTTGAACAAGACCACCTGATGCCACCTGTTTTTAATCACAGCCCCCTGCCTACCAGGTGAATACCCCAAACATCGCCATGTTCAGTAAGCATGTGGAGGCAAAGCAGACGAAGCCCCAGGAGTGGCACACGTGGCTAGGCTTTGTCCACCCACCCCACAGCTCCTGCACACAGCGTCTCACAACCACACGTCCCCCTGGGGCCGGCAGGTTTGTCCTGGGGCTGGGGTTGGGGCGTGCTCAGCTGAGAGCGGTGCTGGCTCTTCTGGCTGCAGCAGTGTCTCTAAAGAGTCCCTGTGATAAGCAAGGGACTCGGTGTTGCTGCTTTTCCTGGGTTGTTCCATTTCCTGGCCACGTCCTACACCGCAGACCTCCAGGCCAGCTGAAAAGCCTCAGCGTCCCCATGGCAGGGGATGTTGGAAATGCCTGGGTGCTTTCCATGGGAGCTGGGCAGCACCTGGAGCTCCAGGCCAGCTCCTTCCTTGCCTGTGGCACTGCTTGCCTTTAGCCTGGTGTATTTGCATCATCTCACCAACAGTTCACCATCCTGGGTCCTGGATGGTGTTTCCAGGCCAGACTGTAGCGGGGGAGTTGCTCGTCTGGCCCTCTGCCCACCTGGGCAGCCAGCAGCTCCTTGCCCATCTCACCCCAGGGGCTATGAGCCTGGGAGACTGCCGAGCGGCAGGGAAGGTGGCTGGACGCTGGCGCTGGACCTGACCTCCTGGACGTCCATCTGCATATTCAGAAGTCGTTCCCAGCCGGTTGGCTGCCTCCGGACTCCCCACTCCCTCTTTAAAGGACCTGAGCGCAGCAGGCGGACGGGGATGCGCCGCACTGCCTCTGCGGCACCCACCCCGCAGCGCAGCCCGGATGCCTGCCCTCGGGGCGCTGCGCTCCCTGCGGCCCTGGAGCCAAGGTGAGTGGGTGGAGAGGTGCAAGCGGCTCGGGTCAGGGACCGCTTGCCGAGGACAGATGGATGCGGCGGCTGGGGAAGGCTCTGGGGGATTTGCAGAGGGGCGGCAGGCTGCTCCACGCACAGCTCTCCCACTGAGAAGCGCCTGGGGAGCCCATATAAGGTGGCTCCCATTTTGGAGAGGACATGCTTGCCTTCTCTTCTGAGCATCTACCTTTTGTTCCGTGGTCTTTTTCTTCAGGTAAGAGGAGCCTCGGCTGCTTTTCAGTATTTTGGAAGGTGGTACCAGTGAAGGCTGGTAGTAAGAGTAGGAACCAAAGCATGCATCTGCTAACTCAGTGGGGAAAGGGCTGCATCAGCGGGAGCGGTTTGCTTGGGGCAGCACCTCCCGGTCCTGCGGCGCTGGGGAGGCTGCGGGGGGGAGCCGAGGCCACCCATGGCGGGCTGCCATGGCCTGGGACCACAGGCTCTGCTCCCACCCTCCAAATCTCCAGCAGAAAGATGGTGGTGCTGGAAGCCTTAGGCAAGTGGAGGGCTTCTTGCCAGCTCTGAGTCAATCTGCTTACGAGGGGTGTATTGCCCCAGGTTTCTGGGGCTGGGAAGCCTCCGTACAGGGGATGGGTAAGCTCCCTGACCTTGCTGTTGAACACAGAGGAGGTGAGAAATTGTGACCAAGTGCCAAAAGAAGGTGTTTCTGTAACAGACCAAGTGAGGTAGCAGGACCGGCTGTCTCATTCCCATGCCATGCGGAAAGGCTTAAGGGTGGATGAAATCTATGGCTGCATTGCATTTGCTGTGTGGCTTTGTTGGAAGCAGCTGGCAGGCTAAGAGGCGACCACAGGCAATGGTGAAGCTTGTTGTACAAGGGCGAGGGTGATGCTGAGACCTGCTGGCACCCCCACCTCGTACTGGCCACGGGTAAACTGAGCAGTTTGAATGTCCCCACAACAGACTGTTAGGAAAATGAAACCCTAATGGTTGGGAGGGTTGGGGAGACAACATGGGAGAGCAACAAGTGGTGTTGGACAACCCAGAAAATACTTGGTTTGTCCAGACTAGAGCTCTGCAAAAGGTAGAGCTCTCCCAGATACCTGCCTGGAACACAGGGCTGTTTGAAGAAAGGCAACCTGCTAAAAACCAGTGAGAAGAAACCCATTTTCTACACTGCTCATTAGGCTGGGGGACTCGCTGTGGAGCAGACAGTCACGGGGACAGGAGACTGATGGTGTTGAAAGTGATCAGACATTTCTGGGTATGGCAAAATAATCTTAGACACTTTAAAGGTGTCTGGAAAAGACATAAACTGTCCTACTTCAGGGATGCAAATCTACTGCTAATTAATGTGGATGAGGAAGAAGCATCCCACAAGGACAGCTACTCTGTAATTGCCCAGGATACGAGCTTTTGCACCTTCTTTTGCAAAGCTGTTCAAGTGAACACACGAACAGAGGGGTTGGATCCCTGCCTGGAGTCAGCATGATAGTTTTAAGCCCAGGGCTGCTGGTTCAGTAGTTTTTATCTTCCCTGGTAATCCCCATCCCTTTTATTCAGTGTTTTGCCAAGCGCTTAGGAGCCCTGTGCTGTGTTAGCCTGAACATCCTGCTCGTAGCAGGTCACATCACACTTTCACCCTTGCTGTGCCCCTTTCCACCAGCCTGTTTGTGTTGCCCCGGTCCCCCAGCGCTGCCACCCATCACCGTGCCCTTGGGGCTCTGGTGGCGGGTGCTGGGTGCCGGCAGAAGCAGGCACCAGCCATGCCCTGGCCTAGCTGCTACTTGCCATGAATGCCTTCACCAGGGATGTAGCTGCCGTCCCCATGCTCTGCCAGCACCTGGGAGCACCTAAAACCACCTTTGCCCAGGTGTGCGTGGCAGAGGGCTCCGTCTGGTGCTCACCACCCTTGTACCTGAGTCCATGAGCCCAAAAGGGAGTTTCCCCAAATGCCTCCAGTGCAGGTGCAGCTGGCGGTGTGGGAATTCTGCACTGCCAGGCACATCCAGGGCCCAAACCATGTGAAATGTAGTCTGGGCACGATGAATGCCTGGCTGGTAGGTGGGAGCTGTGACAGTGTCCATGGCATTGCTGCTGTCATGCGACACCCGACAGCCTGCTCACGGGTTTTGCAGTGCCTGGAGGTTTCTGCCTGGGTCATTCCCTGGTGAAATAGGTTTTGCAGGGGAGCAGGGATGCCCTGGAAATCTGGGAGGAAAAATCCTGGCCATGTGCATGGACAGCTGCTCTATGAGGTCCGCTCCACTGATGTGTCTTGCCCTTTCTCCAGCTCCACACTGCTAGCAGGCTGAAACATCAAACACCTGGGAAGCCTGCCAGTCTGTCATGGGAAATGATCCCCAACCGGCTGAAGGTCAGCTCTTCGGTGTCCAGGCAGGAAGAAGAGGCGATGGATGGCAAGACTGGCTCTGAGCCGGACAGAGACCGTGCCACTTCAGGGCACGGCCAGGGGCTGAAGTCGGAGACCTGTTTCCAGACCCACTCTCTCTTGCCTTCCCCCAGTGCGTCCTTGATATCACAACTCCTAAGCCACCCGATGGCTGGCAGAAGCCTGGATCCCACCATCCTTTTCCCTTCCTCTCAGGCAGTGGCCCTGCCTCAGGACTACGAGCGTGGTGCATCTCCCGGAGAAGGAGTGCAGGGCCTGGCTTTCCCCAGGACCCATGCCCCGGCTCCCGTGCCCTGTGCTGGCAACAGGGACCAGCTCTCCGACCAGCACCTACAGGACCAGCTCTCCAACCAGCACCTACGAGCCAAGCGGGCCAGGGTGGAGAGCATCATCCAAGGCATGAGCCTCCCACCAACCCCTCAGGCATTTGGCACAAGCCTGGAGGCCGCTTTTGGGCACGAGAGGGAGAGGGGTGGCAAGATGCCCTGGGAGAGCAAGAGGAAGCCGAGGGCGCCCCAGCAGGGCACAGGGGCGGCCGGGCGAGTGGCCCCCGTGGGGGGCAGCCCCCATGCCGAGGGCTGCCAGCAGCTGAAGGAGCAGCTCTGCTTTCTAGAGCAGCAGCTGAGGCAGCTTCAGGAGAAGTTTTCCCAGGTCTGTGACTCTGGGGATGCTGCCCAAACCCAGGAAGGTGCTGAGAAAGTGCATCCACTGCCTGGCAAGCCTGGAGACAGACCGGACAAGGACAGTGCCACTGCCACCAGCGATCTGCACCAAGCGCCTCTCTGGAGGAGCGACCTGGAGCTGCATGGGCCGGAGGAGGATGAGGACAGAGGCAACACAGGTGGCCTGTCCTCGGCAGCAAGAGTCCTCTCGCAGGCGCTGAAGCACGAGCTGGCCGGGGTGACGTCCCGGGTGGTGGATTCTGTCCTGAAGACCATCTGGCCGAAGGCAGCCAGCCACCTCCTGCAGCAGCATTGCAGCCTCCCGGTGCCAGGGCCAGATGCCAGGAGAGAGCATTTTGCTGCTGGTAAATGCAGAAAGTCACTTGCTAAGCCATCTCCCATGAACGCACCGGGCTCACTGGGCTCACCCCAGGCTGAGGCCCTGTCAGGAGCTGTGGGGAAGAGCCCAGGCTCTCACGCTGGCTCCTTCAGTTCAAAGGGGGTCAGAGAACCCTCTCAGGTACCCAGAGTGGGTTATTCGCTGGGCTCGGCTGCCCCCGTCCAGGACAGCCAGCTGCTGAGCCAGCTGCTGGGCTATGGCGAGCACGGCCTCTGGGGCAGCGGCTCTCGCGGCACCCCCTCTGCTCCGGAGAGAGGTCCTTCAGAGCCCCTCGACTTGCACTGGGGAACCATCAAACTGAGGTCATCAGTCGTCAGACAGCAGAAGCAGCAGCAGCATCCCCTGCCCCTGAGCCCTGCTGCCATGGAGAGCCTGGCGCTGCTGCCGGCTGGCAGGGATGGCCACAGGGAGGTGCAGGCTGCAATGGATGGGGCACCCTTCGCCTCCACCCATGTATCCTTTGGGGGCAGCTGGAGAGGTCCGTGGGCTCAGCCGGAGCTAGAGAGGTCCCTGAGTTTCGGTGTGCTCCCCTTGTCCTCCAGAGTCACAGCTTGGCACAGCTCCTGCCGGTCCCCCCAGGGCCAGGGTCCCCGCTGCTCCACAGGGAGATAAAAAGGGATGGGCAGGAAAGGGGTCCTGAGCCGTGGAGGGGCACTGCTGTGCCTCAGCATTGGGTAGATGCTGTAGCATAGCTGGGGGTAGAAGTCAGGAGCTCCCAAGCCAGTTCTTAGGCCATCCTGGCGGTCCATCATCCTATGCCAGGAACAGGTGTCTCATGGAAATCCCTGTTCCCACCGGCCTGGGAAGTGCCGTGGGGAGTGGCAGCTTCCCTGGGGATGCCGAAGGGAAAAGCCAGTGGGTGCCCAGCCAGGGATGAACCCCCTTCACCCTGCTGCCAGGCTGTGGGGAGGGGTTATTGCGGGCACCAGGCATGTGCATGCCAGGGCCAGTGCTCAGGGATGTGCCCAGCTGCATGCAGGCTTTCCTTGACCCCGAGGCAGATGCAGGAGGCGCTGACCCCCGGCCACCTGAAGAAGGCCAAGCTGATGTTTTTCTTCACCCGCTACCCCAGCTCCACTCTGCTGAAGACCTATTTCCTCGACGTGCAGGTAAAATGGTAGCACCTGGTGCTGGTGCCAGGCAGGGCTCCCATGCCGCGTGGCACCCAGCCTGCCTCGCTGGGGAACCGCGGGGAAGGAGATGCTCTCGTGTCCCCCTGCCTCACTGGCAGGAGCACCCACTTCAGCACGGGCTGCCCTGGAGCGGGTGCTCAGGGCTGCAACAGGCCTGGGCTGCCAGGTCTTCGCTCTGTGCAATCAAGGCGTTGGGATTAAAGCACATCGCAAACGTGCCTCCCCACCGCAGGGCGGCTGGGATCCAAATCTCAGCGGGGAGAGGCATCGCAGACACCCCCATGCCACGGTCCTGGCTGGTGTTTTTGCACCCCTGGGGCGGGGCTGGGTTTGGGGCCAGGCCAGCAGTGTGTGGCTGGGCTTGCGGGGGCTCGTGGGTCGTGGGGCTCCGGGCTGGCATGACGCCTGTCCTCCGGCTCTCCCCCCTGGCAGTTCAGCCGCTGCATCACCTCCCAACTCATCAAGTGGTTCAGCAACTTCCGTGAGTTTTACTACATCCAGGTGGAGAAGTTTGCCCGTCAGGCCCTGCTGGAGGGCGTCGTGGACGCTGGCACCCTCCGGGTCTCCCGGGACTCGGAGCTTTTCCGCGCCCTCAACATGCACTATAACAAGGGGAACGACTTCGAGGTGAGGGGGGGGAGCCGGGGGGCAGGGGTGGTGGGGCGATGTGGTTTGCCAAGGTGAGGGGAAGCTGGGAACCCGGTGGTGCCAAGGGCTGATGCCCGTCTCACCGCAGGTGCCAGGGCGGTTCCTGGAGGTGGCCAGCCTGACGCTGCGGGAGTTCTTCAGCGCCGTCAGGGTGGGCAAGGATGCTGACCCCTCCTGGAAGAAACCCATTTACAAAATCATTTCCAAACTGGACAGCGACATCCCGGAAGGATTCAAAGCCGCCAGCTGCTCCCAGGAACTGCTCCGCAGCTGAGTCTCTGTGAAAGCAGCCCCGGGTTCTGTGTGCAGCCACCACGCGCGAAGCACCTCACGGGCACTCTGTACAGCATCTGTTATTCTGAGTATTTTCTCTCTGGCCTGTAAGACAGCTCCTTGGGTGAGGTCTATCACTTGCCTGAGGTGCTGGGATTTTGTGCTATGTGTTTTATTCCCCTGCTCAAAGCTGGTGAGGTCCTGCCAGAGACCCTTGGAGGGGAGGGATGGAGATGAAGCCATCAGGTTGAAGCCTGGAAAATCGCCCTGCCCCAGCTCTCCCAGTGACCCTGGGTGAGCTGTCTTCCTTCTCTTCTCCAGAGGGCCACAGATCAGGGCAAAGAGCCTTTCTGTTTATAAAGCAGGCAGAGGTCCTAGCAGCGGGCAAAGTTTTCTTGGCACAGCAGACCAGTGGATGAGCCCGGTCCAACAGCACGCCTCAGTTTCTGTCCAGATACAACACGCCAGTGTCCAAAGAAAACAGCTGGTGAATTCCAGCATTTCAAGCACCCCATGGGGCTTGTTGACCCTGTCTGGGAGATGTAAAACCAGTGTTTGTTGTAGCCAGCATGAACAACACTCCCCCCTGCCTCCCCTGCGCTGTTTGGCAAGAGCCCCCCGTGCAGCTGCGCGCTGTGGCCAAGCAGGTGAGTGCGTGCTGGTGGAAGCAGCCCAGGAGCGACCGCTCACCAGCAGTGTTACCCGTGATGCTGGAGGAGAGCAGGGTGCCCTGCAACTAGCCCCCATCAGCCCATTGCCTGGGAGGAGGGTGCCATGTTAAACACCCACCCGCGTCCCCTTACACCATGCTTCTGCTGGCAAAACTGCCCCAAACATCTCTGCTCTGCAACCTGCCCATGGTGAAAGAGGAGCACGTTATCTGGGACCTGTTGGTGCCTGTGGGTTTTAACACAAGCCGGTGAGGAGCTCGGCCATGAGGTCTGCAGCCCCATTGCTGTAGGGGTGTAAACCCAAGGAGATTTCTTTTCCCTGTGACCAGGACTCAGTTGCCCATTTTCCACCTGATGGAGCATGGCAAAGCATTTTGTGTTAAGGGCTCTCTTGTCCTGGCGGAAGCAGCAGTGGGGAGGGAAAGGCTGTGAAGAGGAGGCAAGTCCGGGGAGAGGCATGACAGGAGGGCTCTGGGAGGGCAGCGGTGTGGAACTGTGGATGAGCACCGACATCCCTGTGCAAAACACTCGGGGAGAAGAGGGTTGGGAGGAGGTCAAGATGTTGAATGTGCTGCAAGGTGCCAGCTGGGTACTAGAGCACAGCAAGTGACACAGGAGAGGAAAATCACAGCTCCAGCATCAGAGGAGCGCATGGGGCGATCCGCAGGCAGTGCGTCTGCAGGGGTAAGGAAGCGTGTGATAACATGAGGGCAGGATGGGGTCTCCGCAATAGGGACTGTTTTACAGTGGTTCCCCCCATCGCGAGTGCGGCTAGCCAGATTTCCTGCTCCTGTTTGTATGTTCATTTCTGGAGGTTTGTATATTTTACAACCCCAACATCAAATTTACTCAATCCACTTTTAAATAAATGCGTAGTTTAAGTTACCCCTTTACATGTCTAGAGACCTATTTGATAACTTCTGCTCTAAAGTGTTACCCTGGGAATTTCTTGCCTTTTGCTGGGAAAAGAATAATACTGCAGCAAAAGGGCTTAATCCTCCTGCTGGCATCCCTGCGGGGCCGAGCACCCCCACTAACCAACGTGCTCGATTAAACCCGCACCCTCACCCCAATGCCTCGGTGTCAGTCTGCTCTGAAGTGCAACTTGTCGGGAGGATCAGGAAGGGGGGGCTGGAAGCAGACGGAGGCACCTCCCAAAGCTCATAGGTGCCAGACTCAAGTGGACAGCATCTGAGAAGCGCTGCCGGTGGCACTGTTCCTGCAGGCAATAACTACCTCAGAGCTTCAGTAATGCATTGGTTAGGCAAAACCGACACTGCTGGAAAAAGAAATGATGGCCTGGCTCAGGGAAGGGGTTAGTAAATTCTTTTGGCCATAGCTAAACAGTTAGGGGACGTAAGGTACAGGTTTACGGAAGGCATCCTGCTGGAACAAAGCCCTTTTACAGAGAGTCCCCGGGGGAGCAGCTTCTTGCTTCCTCTGCTAACATGCAAGTTCGTGGGTGTCAGTAAAGCGGCAGATGGGGGGCTGAGGGCAAGGCAATGCCCCAAATCAGAGAGTCATGGAGTGGCTGAGGTTGGCAGGGACCTCTGGAGGTCATCTGGCCCAACCCCCTGCTCAAACAGGGCCACCGAGAGCCAGTTGCCCAGGACCATGTCCAGATGGCTTTTGAATATCTCCAAGGAGGGAGACTCCACAACCCAATCGTTAAGGAAGATGTTGAACAGGATTGGACCTAGTATCTGGAGCAGTAATTTTGCTCCAGTGTTTGCCATATAGCTGCAAGGAAGCGGGAACTACAGAGCTGTGTTTTACAGTGGCTTTTGCGAAACGTGGACCAGCATGACCACAACAAACAGCATCTCACATCAGTTATCCTCTGCCTGTGTTGAGGCCTCGCCACTTGTATCCATGGGTTGAATTCTGCCGGGGCAGACTTTCCATCCAACAGAAACAGGAAAAAACAAAGCAGGGCTAGAGAGACACTGCGAAGGACACAAGCCTACAGGGCATTTATCTGGCTGGCATCGTCCCCAGCAGCTTTTCAACCCCCTGTTCACCTTCAGCCAAGTGTGACAGAGAGCACAGAGGTGTCAGGGATGCAGAGGGAGCACCTACCCGCCTTTCGGTCACTCCATGCTCCCTCTGCTAGCAGAGCTCCTGTCTGGGGAGCCTGGGGTGCAGCTGCCTGCTCCGGGGGTGCTCAGCTGCCGGAGCCAGGGGGGCTGCACCTAGGCAGGCACCGCTCTGCCGCACCATGCTGAAGTGGGGTGAGCTGAATCACAGCCCCGTGCTCCTGCGAGAGCCTTGGAAAGCAGCAGCTGGCTGGCAGAGAAGGAAGGGGGGCTCACGCTGCCTTCGCTCCATTTAGGTCGCAGGAGCGCTGGATATGGAGAAGGCAGCACGGCTGCTGGGGTTGCTCTAGGGGCGATGGAGCCTGAAGCATTAGGGAACTAGGGTGTGAATTCTCAAGAAATTAGGGTTTCACTGGTTGTGCTGTGCAAGGTATGGTGTGTAGTTTCATTTACATTCTAGCAGTGCCCAAGATATAGCAACTAATTTTTAATCAAAGACTAATAGGTGCCTGTCACAGAGAGATTTCTACAGACAAAGTCTGTCTGCTTGGAGGGCTGGGGGGAGAAGGGAGAGTCGCTGCCCACGCAGTGGTTACGGTCGTGACCACCAGGCTTGGGTGGGCTCTTGCTTCACCATTACCCGAGGAAGCAATGCGGGTAGCACACTCACCTACTGCTGACTGGGTTTCATCTTTAAAAAAAAAAAAAAAATCCTTTCCTTCCTTCTATCCAAATTCCTGTGGTATATGCAAAAAGCCCACAGCCACCCATAACTGTATCCTTTGGGAACAATTCCTCGGGGCTATCCTTTTACACTTCCAATCGCATTCATAACCCATCCGCAGCAATGCACCCTGTCCACACAGCTAAACAAGCAGCAAAGACCACTAAGCACTAAAAATTGCTGTTTTCTGCCTCCAGGCTGCTGCTGTCCTGTAGCAGCCGAAAGAGGGAGATGTGACCATGCTGACTAAGCTGGTGAGGCCCTGAGAGCCCTTATGTACTCATCTATGTTATTACTTACCATAGGAGCCCTTATTACTCATGTACAGATAATTAGAGCTTGAAGAAGTTCCTAGTGAATGCTCATGCCGTGTGCCAAAATAGCTTGGGAGGAAACTCTGACAAGCAATAAAACATCTCCATTTTTTCTTTACTCTTGCTAATGACTTGGACCTGTCTGCAGTGACTGAACCAGCCCTAGAGGTTCCCAGCTCAAGCAGATGTTCTTGAAAGGGATCTTCCCTCAACTACACATCTCAGATGTGTATTTGGCATCAGGGCAGCTCTCTCCAGGTAAGCATCCCCTGGTGAGCCAGCGGCCCGTGCTCATGAAATCTCAGCAACATTTGCTGTCCCATTATATGCATTGGAAGGATGGATTAATCCAGGTTACAGTACAAATACCATGTTTGAGAGAGCTGACATCACTTTTCAGCTGGAGAAGACACCCCTTCCTCTGCCTCTGGTGCACAGAGCTGTGCTGCAGACCCAGCGCCGCTCCAGGGGAAGGCACGAAGAGATTGTGGAGATCAGCCTCAAGGATAAAACACCCTGTGGGGTCCCTCAAGACAGACTGGCATCTCTAGCTGGTAGCAAAAGCTTTTTCTTTTTGCACACCACGGAATATATTAGCGTGAGCCATGGACCAGGGGATGGGAGCTGAGGAATGGGGCTGTGCCAGGTGCCAGCTTCACAGGAGCAGCTAGTTGAGCTGTTCTCCCTTGACTTATGCAATGAAAAGCCCCATTTTGATGAGACAGTGGCAATGGAGCCGCACAAACAGGGCTACACTCTCCCTTCTGGGGCGCCCCAGCTCACCAGCCTGCCTGCAGCAGCTTGGGTGCAAGCACTAACGCAAGCCTGGAAGCTCAGGTGCAGAAGGGAGATGTCTCACAGGGAGCTCTGCCCAGGCAGGGCAGCGCAGGCAGGCACGGGGAGGCCACAGTGTAGCCCAGGGGCTTCCGAGGGAGATATTTACTCTGAGCAAGGGTGCACAAAAGAGTGAGAGGGTAGTCAGCCTCTGGTGACTTGCCTCCACCACCCCAAACCAGCAGGCTGGCTGGGGGTAATGCTGGTCTTGGAGGGGAGACAGCTGAGGTGGGAGAAGATGGGAGGCAGGCTGCCAGAGAACAAGCACATGTGTTCATGCATAGATAAATACCAAAGTAGTAAATCCTTTTTTAAAAGCAGGACTGATCTAGAATGCTTGAGAACGGCTATTCAAGCAAAGCCAGTGAGAGCTGTGCCACGGATCTCAAGGAAAAGCAGATTTAGGTCAACACTCAACACGT